CAAACCATGATCTGGTGTGTACTTCGGGCCAAGATACACTTTTCGAATTGCAGTTTGGGCAATGGATACAACCCATCTTTCTGGCCGATAGGGTGCCCGAAGTGCAATTACAAACTGTATCTTGCCCATAGTGCAATTATAACTCGTTTTTGTTACGCTACTGAAGTTACCCCACTTTTTTCTTAAATGCTCCACAACTTTGAGTTTGCAAATCCTTTTCAAGTGTGTTGATAACTTGTCGGCTGCCACGGGCAGCGATCACCGTGGGTCTAGTCCTTGGCCTCTACAACATCCTGGGATTTTCCACAAAAAAAAAAAAAAAGACGTGTGAACCTTGCCCTTGAAGTGTGAAAGCTTACAGTGCTGCATGCACCCTGTGCGTCTGCACCATCCACCATCTGCCCTTTTTTTTGTTGGTTTCGTTCTTTTTTTAGCAGAAAAGAGAGCATCCACCGTCTGCTTTCAGGGATATCGCATTTGCTTGCTCTTCTCCCCCATGAAGAGACATCTTTCTTGCATCTGGTATAAATCATTTGGGCCGGGGTAGTGCTCGTAGTAAAGAGAAACTTGCACAGGTCATCCAGGTAAAAGAATGAGCTGATGGTGTGCCTGTGGTCCGTGAAGTAGCTGTAGGGAAGGGGTTCCTCCTGCAAGTGGGGCAATGAGACCTCAAAAAAAAAACAAAAAAAAAAAACAAAAAAAAAAACTATGGGTACCTGGTGGACTTTCAACTTTCATTTCCTGTATAGCACTGGGGCCCTTTTGGAATAAAATGATGTCTACGAAAAAAAGATCACGAGTTCACTTCCTGACACTTACACCGATGGGAGGGGCTGGTCCCCCTTGTTAGAGACAAAAAAAAAAGACCAGAATTGATTGATAAATAGAGCAAAACCACAAAAACAAAGCCTCACAAAGCAGCACTGCATGAAGAGACTACCCCTCTTTCTCACAGAACACAACACACTCTGAAAATGAGCATATACATTCATGAGCTAATTTCCCGGTCGGATACAGTCATGATGAGGGTGCATTGTGTGCTTGGCGGAAGACGTCTGGTAGCCTAACAAGTAAAATTCAGATTCGTCACACTCTCTATCAGCCCAAAAAGACCAACTATCCTTTCATAGAAAGGATGGCGCAACCCCAAAAAGATAAACTTCCCTTTCAATTCAGAGGGATGCATGCCCCTAGAGATTCCTAAGCCTTCCTGATTCACAGCCCACTGCAGTGGTTCTCCCTGACTAAGAAGGCAATATGTTGTGGGGGAAACGGACCATGAGAATGCACTCATGAATGGGAGGATGTCAGACTGTGGGCCATCGCGAAAGAGTTGCAGATTGTATCCAAGCCCATTATCCATCATGGAAAAAAACAAACACCTAAGTGAACCCAAGGTAAAGAAACAGAAAATACAAATCTTCGAGGCAGAATCATCGCAGAATGGCCGAGCGGTCCAAACTCAAGGGCACTTGCAAAACTAAAGGGGGATGTCTCCAGAGTTCATTGATTGGATGAGCATTGACATTGCATTTCGATTGAGACCGGCATCGGAATTCCCGTATCCCTTCCCTCCCGCAGACAATACTTGGGTAGATTTGGCCTGGTATGGACGGAAATGATCGGAGCGTGTACTTGGAAAGCCTAGCCTGATCCTCAATCTTTGTATCTGGCAGCCCTTGAGAGGGCTGAAGAGGCTGAGCTTCCCCCTTATCCTCATAGAACACTGGCAGTCAATCTTCCGACCCAGTAGGAGCAATCAATGCTGAAGTGTTTGCTTCATGTATATTAGTATTTGTCAATTGGGACACTGGGCCCGATTCCCAGCCCATGCTGCTACCCATGAATAGATTGGAGTGGATGATCACTATGGGCAGTGGATGATCACTGGCAGGTGTGCTCTTTGAAAGACCAAAGAAGGGGAAACTACTCAGGAGTCACAAAAATGAGTTATAATTGCACAATGGGCCAAGATACAGTTTCCAATTGCAGTTCGGGCAATGTATACAACCCAGCTTTCTGGCCAGGTAGGGT